AAGGGAACCGGGCCTGACCAGCCCCCTCCTCTCAGCCGACTCTGCCGGGGGCGGGTTAGACATTCCCCAGCTTGGAGAGGGTCTGAGGGGGGCGCCAAGATGAAACCTGGGCCACAGGTGCAGGAGATGGGTTCCACACTCCCACGAGGCCTAGATCCGGGAGGGGTTGGGGCATGGTTGGCCCTTGCAAACCCAGACGCTGCCCCGTCCCAACGGCGAACGCCCCTCCCCGCGCACAGCCCCCCCCCCCCCCCCCCCCCCTGCCCCCCCAGCCACTCAGAGACGCCCTCGAAACACTGGGAAAGTGAAGACGCCGCACAGGGGGCCTCTCCTTCTGCCTCCACCAGAGCACCTGCCCGGGTTATTCCGAACCAGGCCTGGCCCTAGCAGCCCACCTGCACTAGCAGGGCTGGGTGGCTCTCCCAGGGCTTCCCCCGGCCCCAGATCTGCTGCTTTCCCCAGGAGGGCCCTCCCAGGCGCTGCGCTCACCTGTACAGGTAGTTGGGTCGGTTCCCTGCAATGACAGCCACCGGCACGTTAAAGACTTTGTTGTCCTGGAGCTGGAAGAGAAAAAGCATTGGAGAGAAGGGCTTTGGGAAGCCACCAGCAGCCCCCGATGACCACAGCCCCCCCAAGGGCGGGACTGGCCTGAGAACGCCCGTGAAGAGAAGGCAGAGAGAGCGGGAACAGCCACCAGCAGCCCCCGATGACCACAGCCCCCCCAAGGGCGGGACTGGCCTGAGAACGCCAGTGAAGAGAAGGCAGAGAGAGCTGGAACAGCCACAAGGTTTAGGAGCCCTGCCCGCAGCCCAGAGAGCTCATGGGAGTCATTTCAGTGCCCCTCTAGGCTTGAAACGGAGCAGAGACTCTCGCGCGCAAGACCCTGGCAGATCAAATGAGTCCACCGGTCCCCCTCGGACCCCTTCCCGCCCCACCGGGCAGGGCTGGACGTGGGCCGTGCTTGGCTGGCAGGCAGCTAGAGAAACTCTGGGGCTGCGGGACGTGGCACGGCGACTATTGAGGCCAGGTTGTCTCTTCGGGCCTGATCCCAGTCTGGTCAGATCTGCCACGGGCGGCCTACCCCATGGGCCAGAGGGTGCTTCTAGCTAGACTAACAGAGCCCTAGGCTGGCAGGGCCTCACAGGCCGCTGAACGCCACCTCCCCAGAGCTGGAGCGAAGCGTTACGGCCCACGGGCCGGGCACAGACGAGACGGAAGGGCCACGAGCGGCTGCAGAGAGCGTTTGCACCCTCGTGCCCTGGCCACTTTCTACGGCTCTCAAGCCCTTCCTTTGCGTGGCAGGCCTCCCTCCCAGAATGCACCTGGCGGCCATTTTCCAGCCCTGCCTGGGAAGGGACGGGCAGGTGCATTCTGGGAGCAGGCGGATGTGATTTTGGCTAGAGCACTCCATAGACCGCTCAGTTTCCTGCGGGCATCCTGCCAGGTCGGGGCCACGCCCGGGGCCAGGGCTTTCCTCTCCCCCAGGGCAGGGCAGGGGGGTCCGGGGGCTCCCAGAATGCACCTGGCGGCCATTTTCCAGCCCTGCCTGGGAAGGGACGGGCAGGTGCATTCTGGGAGCAGGCGGATGTGATTTTGGCTAGAGCACTCCATAGACCGCTCAGTTTCCTGCGGGCATCCTGCCAGGTCGGGGCCACGCCCGGGGCCAGGGCTTTCCTCTCCCCCAGGGCAGGGCAGGGGGGTCCGGGGGCCTCCGTGTCCGGCCAGCGGCACTCGGCGTCTGCGGGAGAACGGGAGACTCGCGAGTTCAGACCCTCGCTCCCGAGGGAGGGGGGTGGCCGCAGCCCACTCAGTGCCAGGGCTTCTGTGCCAGCGTCAGCCATCGCGCCGGGGGCTTGGCGCCCCTAGGGACCGGCAAGGGGGGCCCGGTCACCCAGGCTGAGCGGATGCCAAATACGGTGCCGGGCACCCCGGCGCAAAGCCCCGCCCGGGCACAGAAGGCCCAGGGAACAGGAGCAGTGCAGAAAGGAGGGCGCTTTGAAGGGATGGTCCTGAGACATTCCTTGCAACTGCAGTCACAAAGCGTCCCTTGGGAGCAGGAGGAGGAACCCCCGTCCGCTCTCTCCTCCCCCCAGCTGGGTGCTGGATTGTTACTGTAGGGCTGCCAAGAGCGATCACCAGATTTACAATGGACGCCCCAGTTCCATTTTAAACCGCCAGTTTTGTACTCGCGAGGCCAGTGACCCAACAGCCCCCCAGAAAGGGCTCCGTTAGGACTGACATCATCCCCGACCACCCCCCTCCCCCGGGCAAACTCCCCACGGAGGGGCTGGCACACAGCAATGCCTCACCAGCTGGGCTCCCATGGCTCAGGGACCATATTTAGAGAGGGCCCTGGCTCCCCACAGAATCACAGAACCCCAGGGCTGGCAGAGACCTCGGGAGTCATCGAGTCCAGCCCCCTGCCCAAGGCAGGACCAACCCCGACTCCATCATCTCAGCCAGCACTGCCCCTCAATCATTTCTCATCTCCACATCGCCAGGTCCCCGGGTTTACAGGAGAATCCTGTTCCACTTCCCCCAACCCACCCGGAATGGGGGCTGAACTCGGACAGCTGGGTGCCAAGAGCTTTGTAAGGCAGAGTCGGAGTCTCCCCTCCGTCCCCAGCATCTGCTTTGCACACGCGCCCCCCCTTCCCCAAGCGAGGCACTGCAGTGGGGCACAGCACGCCCAGCTGCATCCTGCCCTTCCCCTGGTTCCCTACCTTCCACGGAGGTCAGCTGGACTTCGGTCTTCAGCAAGACAGGGTCCCCCCAGGCCGAGAGCGCCGGGGACTTGGAATGCTTCTCGCCGTACACCTCGCCTGTGGGGCGGACGCGCCGTCAGAGACGGGCCGCTGCCGAACCGCGCTCAAGGCCCCACCGCACCCAGCCCCAGGACAGAGCCAGCCAGACCCCATGGGATGGCTTGGTACCGCTTCCCTCCAGGAACGGCAGGCGCCTAAGGAGGAGATGTCCCCATCCCCCAACCTGCCCCAGGGAGTAGGCCCCCATCATGGCCAAGCGCCTTGAGGGTGAGGAAGCGGTTTGAGAGACCCGGTTTGAGGGGGAGCCTTTTCCATCCAGTGCACAGGACCCCTAGACCCCTTCTCCATCCCTGCCCCTGCAGCCCCCGGGCCTGGCGGGAGCAGGACTCTCACCTCCTTTCTTCCCCACAAAGCTCCACATGTCCCGCCAGCTGAGGGACGAGGCCGCTTGGCTCCCCAAGGCCTTCAGGAGGCTCTTTGCCGGGTCTTTAAGGTGGAAGGAGCCTTCGTCCTGGAACGAAACAAAACCCGTCCTGAGGCGGCGCCTTCCCCGGCTCCGACCCGACGCGACGCCTCCCCCGCCGCAGCCCCCGGGGGCTTTCCGCCGTGCCCCTCTAGCTCCCGCTGGGGCTCAATGGATGCCCACCAACTGCACAGGGTTTCACCCCCCTGCGGACAGAGGGCGCGAGGCAGACTCGGGGGGGAGGGGAGGGAGAGTCGGAGGAGCCACCCTTTCCGACTCAGGAGCGTTGCCTTGCCAAGATCAGACAGACAGACAGACAGAGCCCCCGTGCTGCAGTCCCCTGGGTCAGACAAACACACTTCATCCCTTTGGAGAACGTCTCTTCCCAGCTATTTCCCACCCAATGCAGGTGACGCGGCACGTAAGTGCCCGCCAGAAATCAGACAACAGAACAGTTTCAATACAAGGGCACCGGGGTGGTTTGCACTCAGCGCCTTATGGAGAAGCAGTAGGCGCAGGATGCATTACGGGGCAGAAAATACACCCCTCCCCCCCAAACAAGAGTGAGACAAGAAGGCTGTGTCTAGACTGGCAAGTTTTTCTGCAAAATCATCTGCCTTTGCGGAACAACTTGCCAGCTGTCTACACTGGCCGCTTGAATTTCCACAAGAACATGGACGATCTCATGTAAGATCATCAGTGTTCTTGCGGAAATACTGTGCTGCTCCCGTTCGGGCAAAAGCCCTCTCGTGCAAATCATTTGCGCAAGAGGCCCAGTGTAGACAGCACAGTGCTGTTTTCTGCAAAAAAGCCCCGATGGCTAAAATGACGATTGGAGCTTTTTTGCCAAAAACTTTTCCGTTAAAAGCATTTCTGGAAAATCATGCCAGTGTAGACGTAGCCGAAAGGTATAAAAAAGTGACAAAAGGGAGCCGGGGCGGGTAGAGTGTGTTACTCTCTTCCCACTCGTGGCGGTGGGAGACAGGAGTCACCCCATTCCGGTCAACAGCGCTACGCAGGGGTTACATGTAAATGTTGTTTTCACACAAGCACCCTTGTACTTTCTGCACATGCACAGTCCCAGCAAAAGGGAATTTGGGAGGATGCCTACAAACAACAACTTAACAGTCCCTCTGCTGGAATGCTGAGACCACTACCCGCCACGCTGACCAGTCCGGATCCCCGGTTTCCTTGTGCTTCCCTCTCGGTCTGCAACAGCTCGATGCCTCTGGTCTTATACTGAAATGTTAAACGCCCGGGGGCGGGGCCTGTTTCTGTTCTGTGTTTGTACAGCGCCCAGCACAGTGCAGGGTTGGGGGGGGGGGGGTCTGGCGGAGGGGGGGGGGGTCTGGCCCGGATTCCTTGGTGTTCCCAGAATAGAATCGACAGTGTAAATCGGGAGGGGAACGGCGCTCGTTGTCAGACATACGCGGTGGAACGTTCACGAGACAAGACTGCAGGGAAGCAGAGCCGGCCTCAGCTCGCTTCCGTAACTCGAGCTGCGGTCCTCAGCCCCACCTACCTTAATGGAGAAGATCAGGATGCGGCCCCGGGCCACCATGTTGAGGAAAAGGACCATGGCTTCGTCCTCATGGGGCGAGTAGGTGTCGAACACCCGCTTGGCCATCACGTGCCCCTGCAGGGGTTCAAACACACCGGAGAGATGTCAACACCACCGTTAAAAAGAAGGTTCAACATTCTGGCTCACCGGGATCCCATGGGTAGGGGGCTGCTATAGCCCAGCCAGGTCGCTGGTTAACCGGTTACCAGTAATCATCAGCTGGTAAGGGTGATGCTTCCTGGTTAACTGGTTACTTGTTAACATCCCTAGCACAGCCTGCATGATGCACGTAGACCATCAATACTCCCTAGAACGCCTTACTGCGGCGGGGCGGGGCCAAATATACCGAGTCCTCCACTTCGGAAGGAGCAATCAATCAAATGTGTACTAAATGGGAAGGGACTGCCTAGGAAGGAGCACTGCAGAAAAGGATCGGGGGGGGGGGGGGGGGGGTGCTCCAGCAATGCTGTTGCCAAAAAAGCAAAAATTTCCTGCTGGGGGGCTTCAGTAGAAGTGTTGTGAGCAAGACACAAGAAGTAATTCTTCCATTCTCCTCAGGCCTCAAGCGGAGGGTTGTGTCCAGTTCTGGGCACCACATTTCAGAAAAAGAGGTGGGCAAAACGGGAGAAGTCCGGAGAAGAGCAACAAAAATGATTGTCTAGAAAACATGAGCTATGAGGGACGACTGAAAAAGAGAGAGAGGAAAAAACAAACAAACAAAAAACCACGGGTTTGTTTAGTTTGGGGACGAGAAAACATGGTGGACATGGCAGCAGCTTCCAAGTAGGTAAAACAGTGGTGTCCAACCAGTTCTGAAGCAAAATGAACTAGTCACATTATTCTGAAAATGTACATAGTTGTGAACCAACTAGCCACACTCAACCAGCCAAATAGCCTAGTGTGTTGGACACCACTGATCTAAAAGGTTGTTACAAAGAAAAGGGAGAGAAAGTTGCTCTTTAATCTCTGAGGATAGAACAAGAAGCAATGGGCTTAAATTGCAGCAAGGGAGGTTTAGGTTGGACATTAGGAAAAAGTTCCTAAGTGTCAGGGTGGTGAAGCACTGGAATAAATTGTCTAGGGAGGTTGTGGAATATTCATCACTTGAAATTTTCAAGAGCAGGTTGAACAGACACCAGGCCAGGCTGGGCTAATTAGGCGATCCTAATTAAATCCCAATTAGAACAGGGGTCTGGCCTAGAGGAATTCTCTCGGTCCCTTCCAGGCCTATGATTCTAGGATTCACCAGGGGTGTCAGACGTGCATCCCGGCACGGAAAAAGGGGAGGCTGGTGGGCCATGGCCCAATTGCTTTTGGGGGAAGAGGCAGTGTGGGGGGAGGGGGCTTGGTTCAGGTGCCAGTGGGCCCCCCACTTTTAGGGACCTTCATCATCCTAGTACACAAAACCTGAGTTCAGTCTGCACCCCAGGAGCCAAAGCCGCCCCGGACAATGGAACGACTCCCATTGAAGTCCACGGCCCTACCTCCAGCCTACTTCCAACCATGGCTTCCCAAGCCATTCCCTCTGGGCTGTACTTTCGCCAGGCCGAGGCCCCCTGCTACTGCAGGTCTATCGGTTGCTGCCAGCCCCTGGCACCTTCACTCCATGCATGGTGCATGCCCCGAGCGAGGAAGAGGGTTCCAGCCCCGCCCCACATCCGTGCCATTTACCGTAGCCTGATTTAACACAATGACGTGGATCCCTCTGCCCTGCTCCCGAGCCTCATCTTCCAACACCTGCGGGAGGGGGGAAAACGTGATTATAGCCAGGAACCAGGTTTCCCTGGGTCACAGCTGCACCGACAGGGAGAATTCGCTGCACTTCAGAATTCTGGGTTCTCTGTGCTCCAGGAAGAGCTTTGGCCCAAGGGCCGGGGGATGAAGATCAGGTCTGTTCTGATATCAACCAGGCCGGTTCACCCACCCTCAGCCTCCTGGGCCAGCCACTAGGGTTGCCAGGTGTCTGGTATTGTACCGGTATTTGCGCGCTCTGTCCGGTAAAAAAACAGAAAATACCAGACACGTGCAATGGCCGGTATTTTCTGTTTTTTCCAGCTGTGCACTGGACGGAAGCCTGGCGTGGGCGGGGGAGCGGCTGGGAGTCCCAGCTGGGAGGCGGGGCCGCGATTGCTGCCGGGAGCCCTGTCGGTGTTGAGTGTGAGGAGGGGAAGCCTCCTCCTCACTCGTGTGTTGCCGGGAGCCTGCGC